CTCCCCGGCCCGCACCGCCGCGCCCACCCCGACGCCCGCCGCAGCCGCCCGGGCAGCCACCGCCACCGCCACCGCTTCCTCCTCCTTTTCGGTGGCCTCCCCGCCGTCAAACGCCGCCGGCCGTAAAGCGCCGCCCGTTCTTTTGCGACAGAAGGAAAAGCGGCGAGTGAAGGGAGGAGCTGGATGGAAGGGGCGTGGTCGCGCCAGGGGGCGTGGTCGGAGCCGCCGGGGCTGGGCGACGGCGGGGAAAGGCCGGAAACAGGCCCGGGGACCGGGGAGGCCAGTAGGACCAATAAAATGGAGAAAAACAAACCACTGGGCAAGCCAGACTGGACGTGTGCTGAGCCCCGCTTGCTGCTGATGGTTTCAACAGCCCTAAGGTTGAAAAATAAAAAATTAGGGGCTGGAGAGATGGCTCAGCGGTTAAGAGCACTGACTGCTCTCGGAGAGGACCTGGGTTCGATTCCCAGCACCCAGGGGAATCCGACATGGGTGTACTCATATACATGCAGGCAATACACTCATACACATTAAAAAATAATAAGTAAAATAAAGTTTTATAAAAGTGGTCTTTACTAAAAAAACCTTAGAGAATACTGAAAAATACAAGAAAAGGAAGGAGAGAGGAGAAGGGAGGAAGGGAGGAAAAGAAATAAAGGATAACCACTGAAAATGACTTCTGGGAAATATTTTCTTAACTGCTCCTCCAGACCTGCCTGGCTGCACATATACCACATGGGGACATCAGTCCAGCCCCAGATTGGCCATTTCTTGACCACACCAAGTCGTTTTTCTTAATGTTATTTCTGAGTTTTAACTTATTAAATAATGTGAGACATTAAGGTCTCAAACTTTGAGAATGCCTGTGAATTGTCAATCTGGGAAAAACTTGAGGCTGAGCACTGGGGTGGACAATGGGCAATTGTTTCCACATTGGTTTTTGGGCATTCCAGAGCCAGACAGGCAGTTGAAAATTCACAGTTGACAAATGGTCATTTGAGGTGGCTTCTTGTGGACTGTGAGCCGACACAGAAATGTTTGCTGAGGTGGTGAGTCAGTATCCCATTGGAAGGGTAGTCATTCTGTTTTCATTTAATTTTATTATTTCTGTTTATTTTTGAGTCAGGATCTCCCAGAGTGTCCTTGAACTCCTGGGCTCAAGCAATCCTCCATCAACTACCCTAGTAACTAGGATTACAGACACGTAACCATGCCCAGCTTTTACCTTTTCTTGTTGTCACGTGAAAGTTGATGCTGAGAAGATGGAAAATTTGATTGGACTTTTACCCAAACAAAAGCAAAAATGGGCATGGTGGCATATACCTCTAATCTAAGAACTTGGTTCAGGGGAGGAGGGCAGAGGCAGGTGAATCTCTGAGTACAAAGCCAGTCCGGTCTACATAGTAAGTTCCAGGCCAGCCAGAGCTACATAGAGAGATCCTGTCTTAAAAAATAAATAATTAATTTTTAATTAAAAAAATTTTTAACTATGTGTATATGTGTGTGCCTGTGTATGGGTTTGTGCACAAGTACAGTATGTATGGAGTCCAGAAGAGAGGATGTGAGCCCCTGGAGCTGTAGTCAGTTACAGTCAGTGGTGAGCCTCCTAATGTGGGTGCTGGGAACCAATCCCTGAGCCTCTGCAAGAGGAGTCAGTGCTCTTAACCCCTGAGCCATCTCTCCAGCACCTATTTTTAAAAATTTATTATTGTGTGTGTGTGTGTACTCATGATATACATCTGTGGGCATACATGCTGTAGCACATGTATGGAGGTCAGATGACAATTTTGTGGTGTCAGTTCTCTCCTACCTTTACTTGGGTTCTGGGGTTCACGCTCAGGTTGCCAGACTTGTGCTGCAAACACCTTTACCTAATGAGCCATCTTGCCGGTCCTCCATCTTATTTTTTTAAAATATTTTATTTATTTTATGTGTATAAGTGTTTACCTACATGTATGTAAGTACACCAAATCCATGCCTGGTGCCTGAGGAGGCCAGAAGAGGGCTTCAAATACTCTGGAGCTGGAGTTATGGACAGTTGTTAGTTGTATTGTGGGTGCTGGGAATCCAACCCAGGTCCTCTGCAAGAGCAGCCAGTTCTCTTAACCACTGAGCCATCTCTCCAGGCCCCTCTATGTTGTTGTTGTTGTTGTTATTATTATTTAGTATTTTTGAGACAGGGTCTCCCTGTATCCCCAGCTGACCTGGAACTCGATATATAGACCAGGCTAGCCTCTTTCTCACAGAGATCCACCTGCCTCTGTCTCTCAAGTGCTGGGATTAAAGCTGTGCTCCACCACACCTAGCTTCCATCTTATTTTTTGAGACAGAATCTCTCACTGAACCTGGAGCTCACTGAATCTTTGAGAATGGCTGGATAATAAGTCCCAGAGATCCTCCTATCTCTGCCTCCTCAGTGCTGGAAACACAGGTGCTCAGCATGAGTGCTGGGGACTGAACTCAGGTCCTCCTGCTTGCAAGGCAAGTGCTTTATTGACTGAGCCATCTCCCTTGCCCCTAGAAGTATTTTTGCTACACTGTTGTAATTGACATGCCTTGGCTTACTTCTGTGTATGTTTCTTGGGGGACAGTTTTCAGAGACGGATTCCCAGGTCAAAGGCTTATTACTTGTGCTCCTAACTCCTTGTCATCTTTAAACACCCCAAGACAGGAGCATGGGGTGCTCACAGGCAAGTTTCAGCCACATAGCAAGGCTGTGGAGGCTTAAGGAGGTTTTGATTCTTGGCTTTCTAACCTCCCTGGGCCTCAGTTTCTCCATCCTTAAAATTCGTATCATAAGACAAAGTAGGATTGCTCTGAGACTTAAATTGGACAAGTGCATGAAGGATCTAACAGACCGCCTGGCAAACACCTGTGCATGACACAAAATTCTAGAAGCACAAAAGAATGAAGGGTGGGGACTGGAGAGATGGTTTAGTGGAGAGGAACACTCACTGCTCTCACAGAGGACTGTGGTTCAGTTCCCAGCACCCACGTATGGCTAACCACCTCCTGTAACTCCAGTTCCAGGGGGATCTGATGCCCGCCTCTTGCGTCCTTGGACACCAGGCAGATACGTGGTGCACTTACATACATGCAGGGAAACCACTCATATACATAGATGGAGGAAGAGGAGGAGAGGCAGGAAGAGAAGGGGGAGGAAGAAGAACAACAATTAAGTCATCTTCTTGCAGGGCCCCAGTCAATCTGCTCCTTTCCCCATATTCAAGCAATGTTACTTATTTCTAGGACATTCTCCTAGTCTATTTGCTTACAGATTTATACATGCATTTTTTCCTTACCAGAAATGTAGCATCTGACATATACTTATATCTCATTTGTTTTAAAGGAAAGGCTTAGAAATTCCACTATTGCCGGGCGTGGTGGCGCACACCTTTGATCCCAGCACTCGGGAGGCAGAGGCAGGCAGCGGATCTCTGTGAGTTCAAGGCCAGCCTGGTCTACATAGTGAGTTCCAGGACAGCTGGGGCTACAGGGATACCCTGTTTCAAAAGAGACCAAAAAAAAAAAAAAATTCCACTATAATCTTTGGGCTAAGTCCCAATGGGAGGTCACAGTACATCTGGCAGCTCAAAGTGTGGCCATCTCACTCACTGAGGCTTTTCCTCTAGCCAGGAAGGGAAATGAGTAAAACAGGATGAAGCCAAGAAAAGTGTAAACACACACACACACACACACACACACACACACACCTGGCTGCAGCTGTCTTGGCACTTTCCTGGTAAAATGGCGTCCTGTGCCTTTAACTATCCAAAGCACGTGTAGCACGTATTAGAAGCTACAGTTAAAGAGACAGTCCTTCCTAGATGAAGATTGGACCAGGTTCAAGTTATAGCAACTTGGTGAAACATGGGTAACAGATACTCAAAGGCTAGGGTCAGACTTTGCTAGGGTGAATCCTTTCTCTCCAACAGGCAGGCAGTTTCCAAAATTAATCCTTATTTCGAATCTGGAGATTTAACACCACGTATCACTGCTCAAGGATGTTTTTCTATCCACATTGCCGCCAAGAGTCTCCTTGGATTCTTAAGAAACAGGCAGTTAGAGCTTGGGTTCTGCCTGATGCATCCTTGCTGTGGTCCCACATCAGTTATGCGATGCCAAGCAGATTGCTTCTCTCTCTGAGCCTCAGTTTCTCATTTTGCAAGTGGAAGCAGTACTGCCTGACTCACAGGGGAAGTTATGGTCACGGAATGAGAGCTTTGAAAACAGAGGCAGCCAACACAGGCTTGCTGGTTCTTCCTCCATTTGTCCCTGAATTTCTTCCTCCAAGGGTTCAGAATCTCAGTCTGCATCCTTCTGAATCCAAAACATCCGGTGGATGCTGGCACCAAGTCTCCTTCCCAGCTGCAGCAGCTCCTAGCGCAGGTCCCAGCTGGGAGGCAGACAAACTAAATTCTAGATTCTGCTCACATCTCTTCATTTTGACCGCCCTGTGACCTTGAGCTTGCAGCAGGATGGTCCTGGGCCTCATTACAGTCTGTGCAAGTGAGCAAATCTTTGTTCAATGAGAGGAAATCAAGGTTTCCAGACTGTACCCACCTAAAAAAGACATATGGTCCTTTCATTTCCTTATACAAATAATGTATATCCTATATATATGAAAAGAAGCAAGAAAGTAAGACTTATCTAGAAGTAATATGACAGAAATGATTTCTAAATGATACGTAAGGTTTTTTTTTGTTTTTTTTTTTTTTTTGGTTTTTTTGAGACAGGGTCTCCCTGTAGCCCCAGGGGGCCCGGAGCTCACTATGTAGACCAGGCTGGCCTTGAACTCACAGAGATCCGCTTGCCTCTGCCTCCCGAGTGCTGGGATTAAAGGCATGTACTACCATGCCTGGCGATATGTAATTTTTAAAATATTTTATTTATCTATTTATTATACGTACTAGTGTATTGCCTGCATGTATGAGTGCACCCGTGTCGTGCAATGCCAGCGGAGGTCAGAAGAGGGCTTCGGATTCCCCTGGAACTGGAGTTAAGGACCATTCATAGCTGCCATGTGGGTGCTGGAAATCAAACCTGGGTCCTCTGCAAGAGCAGTCAGTGCTCTTAACCGCTAAGCCATCTCTCCAGCCCCATATATATAATTTTTTAAAAATTACATTTTATGTTTTTATTTTGTGTGTGTAACAGGGGAGCACATGTCCCATGCCATGCATGCGGACGTCAAAGAACAAGCTTTGGGAGTCAGTCTCTCCTTTTCACCATAGGGTTCCCAGGAATCAGATTCAGGCTGTCAGGCTTGGCACCAAGTGTCTTTAATGGCTGAGCCATCTGACCAGCCCTTAAATTATTTATATGTGTATAAAATAAAAGACTATCACAACTTGGAAATAATTATTCTAAACGTTTGTCTTTTTAGTTGTTTTGAGATTGCCTCATGTAGTCCATGCTGGCCTCTGACCTACCATGTGACTGGGCATCACCTTGAATCCTGAATCTCCTGAGTGCTGGGATCCCAGGCACCAGCTCATTTCCTTCAGTCTCTTTTCTCCTAAGTGTCTGGCTGTGTAGCTCAGGCTGGCCTTGGATTCCTGATTTGCTTGCACATTCTGGGTTCTAAGATTTAGACCTACCCCCACCACACTCAGCATTGTTTTTGTTTTTTTTTTTAAGCTATCTACTGTTTGAGAATCTATTTTTACGAAGTGGGTCTTACTGTAGAGACAGCTTTTTCCACTTAACATCCTTTGTGTTTCCTTGTTGACATAACAGCACCTGCAAATGGCCACTTCTCCCTAGCTCCCTGGCTCCTCCAAGGCCTCCATCCCAACCCTGACCTAGAGTTGTACCCATCACCAACTCCTCCAGACTCTAATCTGTCGGAGAGGATCTGGGTCCCTGTTTGAGCTCTCTTCCAAGGCAGCGTGCAATTTTGTCCAGAGATGGATGTGGCTGGCCAACATCTGGACCAGGAACCGTTTAAAGGGGGTTGGTTTGGGTTATTCTTGAATGTCACTTAATTATTCATTCATTTGGCAATCAGCTTCAGCAAAAATTCCTTCACTGGGAAGTTCAGACTTCCCCGGCTCAGAAATTTGCCTCCAGGGACAGAGATATAGGTGAAGTGATTCCGTTTGCCGGACTGGGTCTGGACTTGCTGCATTTCCAACATCAGCAACGTGTCTCTGCGCTTCTGTCCACATCTCCACCCATCTTCACCCACCCCACGCTCAACATCTCACTTTAAGGAAGGTTTAAAGAAAATGAAATACCCAAGAGCTAACTTTGAGGTGGACTACAGATACCATCATCCCCAGGGCAGGTGCGAATCCCAGTGAATATTAAGTTCCACTTTTCAGGTGAGCTGAGATTGGAGCATCTCAGCACCCAGGGCAGAACCTGGGGTCTATTGGGGCCTCGCTCCCTTCTTCCTCCGCGAGCTGTTGCAGACCCTGGAGAAGAGAGGGAGGCGGGCTGGCGACAGGACCCAGGAGCCGCAGGGACAGGGGTGAACTGCCCCAGGTCCCGAGGCCCCCCGCGCTACACAGCTGCCGGAAAACCCTTCCCCCGGGCGGGCGGAGGAGCGCTCGGCACCGCCCCCGAGGCGGGCCCAGTGCGTGGCAGCGCCCGCTGGCCCGGTCGCGAAGTTTCCAGCCCTGAGAGCGCCGGCGACGGTCCGCAGACACGACCATGCGGCCCCCGCTGCTCCTGGCCCCGCTGGCCTGGCTGCTCCTGGTCCAGGCGAAGGACGACACCAAGGCGGAGGGTGAGCACGCAGCGGGCGCGGCCCGGGGCAGCCCCACGAGGACCCGGGTGTCCCGGCGGCCTGGGCTGGGAGGGTGGGGGAGCGGTCATCCGTCCACTTACACGCTGATGACCCCGACAGATCACTTCCTCTTCGTGGGACTGCTGTTCCCATGTTTGTGCAGCGTACAGGAAAGGATGGCAGCTTAAGTCCCATTCAGCATACAGAGGGGCCCGTCATAACAATGCCCAAAATAATAACCGTGCTGTTAATGCAAGTCCTGCTGTGAGCAGGCATCGAGAGTTCAGCGTGATCGCTGCTTCTGGGAGTGTTTCCTTCTAACAATCCCCATTTTCCAGCTTAGCAAACTGAGGCTCCAGAGTTGACTGACTTCTCCGGAGTCACACAGCTTGTGGGCCTTGGAACAGGTATTCATCCACTTCTCTGGGTGTTCCTGATCCAGGGCCTGGCTTAAGGCCTTTGTTATCTTAAGGGTGAGGGGCTTTGGAATGGAAGGCAGAAGGTAGATGGTGTGGCTCTCCTTTGTGGAGCGGGGTCAAAGTTCCACTTACACGATCTGTGCGGGCCCCCTGCTAGGCTGGCTTGCCTTTCCAGTTGGAACACCTTAGCTCAGGTTAAGTGCCCAGGGTTATCCAGTGGGGAGTGGTTGGGCCGAGATCTGCTGGACTCCCAGCCAAGTGCTCATTCTGCCTCTCCAAGGCACAATCCTAAGTGTGCCCCACTATCCTAAGTGGGTGCTACTGTCCTCCCAACCCTCCCTGGCATAGACCTCCTTCATCTCTGCTCTCTGGGTCCTGAAAACCCCCAGGAGGGCAAACTGTGGACCACCCAGACAGACAGAGCCAAACTGGCCACACTCTCCAGGGCATCCTGTTTCCCTGGGCCCTTCTTGTAGAGAACCTGGGAGCTGGCCAGGTGGTGGATGGTGGGGCTAATCAAAGGAGTCAAGTGGGCTGGAGATGTAGCTAAGTTAGAGTACTTGACTAGCATGCACGAGGCCTTGGGTTTGAGTCCCAGCACTGCATAAACTGGGCATGGTGGCACACTCACACCTGAAATGTCAGCACCAAGGAGATAGAGGCAGGCAGATCAAAATCATCCTCAGCTACATAGCACCCACATCAGGTGACTCACAACTGCCTTTAAGTCCAGCTCCAGGGGAATCTGATGCCTTCTGGCCTCCATGGGCACCCACATATGTGTGGTATACACTCACACAGGTGCGCGCGTGCACACACACACACACACAGACACTTAAACAAAACAATAGTCATGATGTCATGGGACTAATAAATGGTGTTCAAGGCCAGCCTAGGTTACAACATAAAACCCTGCCCCCCCCCCCAAAGGACCCTGGCTCTGTGACCCTTGGGCCATGGAGGGCTAAGAACCAACCACTGTTCCACTGTTTCTTGCATGAGTACCTCCTATGCTAAGGTAAACTATACACAGGGACACACACCTCCCATTGCTAAAGCTGGTGGTGCTCAGTCTTTTGAGAGGCTTGATGTTCTAGACCTCAATTCAGGGAGACAGTACCTTATTCCTAGAGATCCTGTGAGATGTCAGGAATGAGGCCAGTCACCCTCTAAGTCACCCTTTAAGGCCACACCACTGGGCGTTTTCTCTCCTGGCCTAGAGCTGCCAGTATTTCTGGAGGATCTGTGGAAGCAGGGCCAGAACACAGATAAAGGGAAATCGGATAAGTAAGAATGAGTGTAGGATTCAGCTGGTGGTGTGGGCAAATGGCCTGGGTCCATTCATTGACAGGATCCTGTAATGGCTGCTTTTGCTGTTGCACGCCCTTCTATCCCAGACCATCCTAGTACAGAAACTATGGCTGCCCTTGAGGAAGCACTGAGGGGAAATGGACCTGACTGATGACAGGGTTCAGGTGCCCTGTTCCAGCAGTGCCAGCAGGGGGCGGGGAGGTACCGGGCAGCTTGCAGAGGGTGCTGCTGTTGGGCTCAGGATGCTCTTGACGCCATTGTAAAGCCCCAGGCAGTGACAGGCACTCATCAATACATGTAGGTTGCCAATGTCAGACTGTTCTGTGTGGAGACCCTCTGCTTCCCTGCAACATAGATTTTCTTTTGTAGTTCTGGAGATCAAACCCAGGGACTGACACCTGATAGTGACGTGCTCTCCACTGAGCTACCTCCAGTACCATCTAGGTTCTTTTTGAGACAGTCTTGTATATCCCAGGCTGATCTCAAACTTCCTGTGCAACTGAGGATGATCTTGAACTTTTTTTTTGCTTTATTTTTATGTGTATACATGTTTTGCATGCATGTATGCAAGTACATCCGTGTCTCGAAATGCACGTGGAGACAGAAGAGGATGTTGGATCCCCTGGAACTGGAGTTACAAATGGTTGTTAGCTACCATGTAGGTGGTGGGAACTGAACCCAGGTCTTCTGCAAGAACAGCCAGTGCTCTTAACCACTGAGCCATCTTTCCAGTCTGATCTTTTAAAAAATATTTTATTTATTATTTTTATTTTTTGTTTATGAGTGTATTGCCTGCATGTATGTGAGTGCACCTGTGTCGTGCAATGCCGCGGAGGTCAGAAGAGGGCGTTGGATTCCCCTGGAACTGGAGTTAAGGACGGTTTGTAGCCGCCACGTGGGTGCTGTGAATCAAACCCAGGTCCTCTGCAAGAGCAGTCAGTGCTCTTAATCACTGAGCCATCTCTCCAGCCCCTCCAGCCAAATCTTGAACTTTTGATCCTCCTGCCTCTACTTTCCCAGTGCTGGAATTATAGGTGTGCACCACCATACCCAGTTTATACAGTGCTGGGGATTGAAACCAGGGCTTCATGTGTGCTAGGCAAGCACTCTACCAGCTAAACTACATCCCCAGCCCTTCTAGACTTTTTGGAGACCCTGAGAGGTTAAGCACTTGGTCCCAGGTTGCCATTGCTGGCTGGAGGGGAGCCACTCACTGGGTTCATACCCACAGCTCATTCCTATTGGCTGCCATCACTGACTGGGGCATGTTTGTCCCAGAAACATGTAGAGTTGGGGATCTGAGGAGAACTGAGGCAGCAGAAATGTGGGGACAGCCAGAACCAGGGAGCCTCCATCAGGGAATCCCTACCTCCCCCTTCCAGGCCTTGTCTGTGACTTCAGTTAACACCTGAATGGGGATGGGATGGAGGATAGAGGAACCCTAGTTCTCCCTGCTCCCCAGAGAGCAGGATGGAGATATCTTTAATTTATTTTTATGTGTATGAGTATTTTGTCTGCATGTATGTAATTGTACCACATGCATGCAATGCCTGTAGGGGCCAGAAGAGGTGTCAGATCCCCTGGAACTGGAGTTACGAATGGTTGTTAGCTGCCATGTGGGAGCTGGGAACTGAACCTGGGTCCTCTGCAAGAGCAGCCAGTACTCTTAACCACTGAGTCATCTCTCCAGCCCCGCAAGTTTTATCTTGACTGCACCTTGAGCCAAGACTACCCACTGACACAAGACCTTGCTTAGGCTGTTGCCACTGAGGTAGGGTGTCCACCTGAGTCCACCCAAATCAGGGCTGAGCCCATAGAGGCTGAGCCTCTTCCTTGCACATCCCTAAGCCCCATGTCCAGCTTTGTTACCCTGGGGACTACTCCCCAGCTCCCAGGGCAGCACTTGGTGATGCACAGCTCCCTCTCTTGGGAAGACACCTCTTTGTGCTGAGAATTGAGTTGTCACAGGCCAGATGCCAGACTCAGCACTTTACTCATTGACTCCTCACTTGAGACTCTGATTATTTATTTTTTAGTCTTTTTGAGACAGGGTCTCCCTATAGCCCCAGCTGGCCTGGAACTCAGTATGTAGACCAGGCTGGACTCGAACTCACAAAGATCCTCCTGCCTCTGCCTCCCAAGTGCTGGGATTAAAGGCATGGATCACCACATGTAGCTATTTTTTTATTTTTATGTGTATGAGTGTTTTCCCAGTATGTATTTAAGTGCACCCTGCATGCAATGCCTGCAGAGGCCAGAAGAGGATGTCAGATCCCCTGGAATCAGAGTTACAGTTGTTGGCCTTCATGTGGGTGCTTGGAACCCAGCCAGAGCCACTGAGCCATCTCTCCAGCCTGCTCACTGGAGTCTTTGAAAGTCGTGTACGTTTATCCTTACAATTCCCATGGTGCAGATGAGGAAATCAAGGCCAGGGAGGCTAAGTTACTTGCTCAGCAGTCTGTCCTCACCTCCTGCTCTGCCATCTCTCTTTCATGTATGCTGACTTGAATCACAGTTCGTCCATCTGGGAAAATTATTGCTGGACTTTGGGCAGCAAGTGGGAGGGCCAGGCTCTCTGGGTGCCAGGCCCAACATAGCCCTGGCCTGAGCCCAAGGCAGCTGGTGAGCAGACAAAAGCAGACGGGATGGGGTGGGCTCACCTTGGTGCTGTGTGAAACGAAATCCTCCATGTGGATGTCCTGTGGGTGTCCCAGAGCTCTGATGGGGGAGACTGGAGAAGATCTTCTGGCAGGGCAGAGAAACCCCAGCAATGCTGGATTCCATCTGCAGCTAACACAATGCTGAGCAGTATGATCTGCATGCTAGCGCAGTCCTATAATCCCAGCCTTCAGGAGGCTAAGGCAGGAAGATTGAATTTGAGGCCAGGCTAGGCCACCTAGTAAGACCCTGTGTCAGAAGCAACAACAAAAAAGTATGGGTGTTTGGAAGGCTAGCCAGAACATTCCTGTTTCACTCCAAGGTCTGTGACATTAGGTAACCATTTAGCATCTCTGTGCCTCAGTTTCCCCATCCATAGAAGGAAGATAATAGTAAAACCTCCTTTATAGGGTATGTTTTGTTTTTTGAGGTAGGACCTCATGTAGCCCAAGCTGACCTTGAACTTGAATGTAGTTAAGGGTGACCTTGAATTCCTGATCCTCCTGACTCCATCTCTCATGTGCTAGAATTACAGGCATGTACCACCATGCCTGGCTCTTCGTACAGTGTTAAATGCAGGGGTGAACATAGCCTACTTCCTGCAGTGCATGGCAGCTCAGAAGGGCTCAGCCAGGAGCCCACTCTTAACTAAAGTCAGCTTCCCACATTGCTCCTTAAGGCCAGGCAGAGCTCACCATGCCTTGGTGTAAGAGCTGGAAGCCAAGAAAAAAAGCTGTGGCCCCGGCCTGGCAAGGCAGGTTTGTATGAGTAGATCAACTAGGTGTGCAGACTAGGAAATAATGAAGGAAGGTTTCCTGGAGGAGGTAGTCAAGGAAAGAAGTGTTCCAGTCAGCCAGTGGCATAAGGAGGAGGTTGGGTTACTGAGAGGTGCTTTCTGGGGTCTTAAAGATTGGTGCCTGTGATCCCTTGGGGGAGGAGCGTGCCTTGGGTTCCCTTTCTGGGAACCACCTCCCAGCCTTGCACTGAAGCTGAATTGAGGGACCTAGGATGGCTTGGCTCACAGGTTCCCCAATGTGGCCGACATCAGAAATAACCCGGGAATGTGAGAGATGGCTCAGTGGTTAAGAGCACTTGGTGCTCTTGCAGAGGCCCCAGGTTTGGTTCCCAGCACCCACATCGGGTAGCTCACAGCTGTCTATAACGCTAGCTCCAGGGCATTCAACGCCCTCTTCTGGCCTCTGAAGGCAGTGCAATTTATTTATTAATAGTTTTAAAAACTTATTTGTGTGTGGACACTTACTGAAGGACAAAGAACAACTTTCAGGAGTCAGTTCTTTCCCTTCTACCATTTGGGTTCTGGGGATGAACTCAGGTCATCAGGGTTGGTGATAAGCACCTTTATCTGCAGAGCCATCTTGCCAGCCTAAGGTTAGCCATTAGTTCCAGGGTATTTTGGAAGCAGGACCTTGAGAATGGAGGATTTCCTGTCCTGCTCTCCCCTAATCCCTCCCCTGCCACTTGGCCTCCTCCCCCAGAGAATCCAGAATCACCACACACACACACACACACACACACACACACACACACACACGCTGACTTTTCCATCCCCCAATCCCCCTCCCCTGCCACTTGGCTTCCTCCCCCTAAGAATCCCAGAATCACACACACACACACACACACACACACACGCACGCACGCACGCACGCACGCACGCACGCACGCGCGCGCTGACTTTTCCATCCATGAAACTTGACATTCTTCCTAACCCCCTTTTGGCCAGAGGCCCGCAGAGCTTGTGGCTGTGGTTCTTCTCACCTGGGGGGCGGGGAAGGGGGACACAACTATTCATGCTGTAGTTGGGAGGAGCTCTTCCCCCACCTTTTTTTTCTGAACCCCCAGGGTCAAGTGAGACATTTACCCCCCTCCACCCTGCTGGCTCCTGCCAATCCCGCTGGGCCCCCTGCTCTGGGACCAGCCTCCTGCCTGCTCAGTCTCCACCAGCTCAGGACAGTTGACTCCCTTTGTTCTCTCCCTCCAACTCCCCACTTCCTGTGGTGGAGGGAGGGAGAGGCCTTACCTGCCTGACACTGGACTCCCAGTTTTAGCAGCGAGAGTAGGGAGAGTTCTGTTCACCTAGGGAAATGGATCCTGGATGTTGAAGGCACAGAAAGTCACACAGAGGAACCATAGGGAGCACTACAAAGTAGTCCTGCCCCTCAGACTTCAATGTCAGAAGCCTGAGCATGGGCAAGGGCGTGTCGTTGTTACTGGTTCCCTAGGACCTGGAGAAAGAAAAGGGGAGCAGATGCCAGCCCTGAGATCCAGGCTGAAAGAAAGCTTATGTAGACCATGGAATAAATTTATCCCCTGGGCCTTCAGTAATGGGCACGGCATCACCCCATTGGTCAGCCCCACTGACAGCATTCAGTATGTGCCAAACATCCCCATAGGGATTTTACATGCTTGGTCTCATTTAATGAGTCCAGCAGCCTTGGGAGGTAGGCACTGTATTGTCCCTACTTCATGAGGGAGAAACTGAGTCACAGAGAGGCTGGCACGACTTACCTAGGGTCATATCATTTGTAGGGAGCAGGGCTAGGATCTAACCCGGCAGGCCGGCTCTAGACCATCACATCTTAGGACCTCACAGCTTCACAGTGGGACATGGGAGGGGCTTCCTGGGGCTCCCACAGACAGTCTCTAGAGTTTGTTCCAGCATCTTCTGTTGCAGAGTTGAAGCCATGTTGTAGTGCTCTGAGAGGGCCCTTGTTAAGAAAGTATTAAAGGAGGCTGGAGAGATGGCTCAGTGGTTAAGAGCACTGGCTGTTCTTGCAGAGGAACCAGGTTTGGTTCCCAGCACCCACCTAGCACTACCGACCATCCATTACTCCAATTCCAGGGGAATCTGACGCCCTCTTGTGATCTCCACAGGCATCACATGCTCAAGTATACTCATATCTGCACACAAAACATTCATACACATGTAAATAAAATAAAATTAAAATTAAAAACAGAAGATAGTAACAAAGCCAGGCCTCTTGGGTGTGGTGGTGCATGCCTATAATCCCAGAATTTGAGAGGCAGGAAGATCAGGAGAGGAGTTCAAGGCCAGCCTTGACTACATGTTGAGTTAGAGATTGTCTTGAGTTACATGAGACCTTGTTTCAGGAGGAGAGAGACAGGGGTAACACAGAACAGAATAGCAGTAATAGGTGTAGATGGATAGAAGGATTTCAAGTTGATTTCTATCCCAGACCATCTGAACCCAAAGCATGGCATTGGGAAAGTCAGCCATGGGAGGCTCAGTGAGGGAGACTGGGTGGATGAGCCATGCCCGCCCTGGATGCAGACACAGAGACTGGTAGCCTCTAAGCCCTGCACTTGCCACCCCTGGCTGATGCCCAGCCCTGGCCAGAGAGATCCTTACATGATCAGCATTCAGGGCACATCTTCCTTTTGACCCCCTTGCTGAGGCCTGTGCCCCCTAAAGCCAGAGTCTTGGTCTCACGAGACAGGGTACAGACACTGTGACTGCTTGACATGTCGGTCACTTTCTAGGTGTAAGGAGACCTGGGAGGAAATTAGGGGGGCCAGAGTTATGTCACAGCTCTCGTTCAAAAATTCTTTTTGATTTATTGTTTTTTATAAATGTCTATGCATGTTTTGCCTGCGTGTATTTAAGTGTACCATGTGCATGCTGTACCCATGGAGACCAGAAGAGGGCATCAGATCCCCTGAAATTGGAGTTACAGGACAGTTGTTGGGTGCCATAGAGTGTAGGGTCTTCTGCAAGAGCGGTAAGTGCTCTTAAACTGCTGAGCCAACTCTCTGCCCTTCCCTCCTACCCCCAGCTCTGTCTTAATCCACTAAATGGTCCTTGGCACAGCCTGAGCCCTTTTCTGTTATGGGCTGTTGGGAAGACAGTCACTGTGAACAGTAGACTCCTCCCTGCCGCCTCCCTGCCCCTCCCCTGTCCTCATTCCTGCTCACCATGCCCTTCTCTGTCCACAGACAACCTTTTGGTCCTCACTGTGGCCACGAAGGAGACGGAGGGCTTCCGCCGCTTCAAGCGCTCAGCCCAGTTCTTCAACTACAAGATCCAGGTAAGCTTCCTGAAGGCTGAAGCGTGAGTGCAAGTCAAAAAGGAAGGGCAGTGTACTAGCAGATTCTAGGATGTGAGGGAGAAGGAGAGGGGAGGCTAGAGAGGTTGCACAGTGGTGCCCGGATGTCAGCATGCAGAGGCCTCACCTGGAAGAGTGTAGAGGGCAGAGCCTGAGAACCAGCATTCCCACAGTCCCCTGGGGCATCGTGGGATGGCTGTGGTCCTGTGACCTTCCTTGGAGTGTTATAAACAAACATGTTTGTCGACCAAGTGTTGGCTTGTAGTCTGTGGGACCAAGTCCTTCAGAAGACAGCCCTCTACTCAAGGGACCATCCCAAGTACTTCTCTGTGTTAGGCACACTGGGGACAGAGAGCACACCAGCCACACCATGGCCTACGCAGAGCTTGGAATGAAGCCAGAAAACAAGTGTATCAGCTGGCATGAATCCACGCTGAAGCAGAGGCTTGCTTCGGGCATAGCTGGATCCAGGGTTTCAAGCAGCAAAGTGTCTTCTTTCTCTCTCTCTCCAGAGTCAGGCTCTCTCTTCTTTGTGGCAAAGACCCTCAGCCCCACCCCAGGCTCCCATTCCCAGTGTCTCAACCTCAGTAGAGCAAAACAGCCTACCCTAAACGCAGCAGCCTCAGGGAAAGACTCATAGGCCATCCTTGGGTTAGGTGCTCAAAGTCCTGTCTCTGGGGGGGCAGAAGGAACGGGACATTCTCATTGGCCGTGCATGGTCACATGATTCACATAGTATGGTTTCTCTACAGTGGAGGGTTGAAAAGAAGCTAAGCCATTCCCTGCCCAAAATGGGTTGGAGCCAGGTGTGGTGACACAGGTGCCTCTCAGCACTTGGGAGGCAGAGGCAGGCGGATCTCTGTGAGTTCAAGGCCAGCCTGGTCTACATAGTTCCAGGCCAGCTGGGGCTACAGGGAGACCCTGTCTCAAAAAAGGAAAAAGAAAACCCCAAAACAAACTGGGGTGGAAATATGACTGGAAGACTGTTTCTCTACGAACAGCTGGGACTTTTCTCTGCAGGCGCTGGGCCTGGGGGAGGACTGGAGTGTGGACAGGGGGTCCACAGGGGGAGGCCAGAAGGTGCGGCTGCTGAAGAAGGCGCTGGAGAAGCATGCAGACCACGAAGACCTGGTCATTCTCTTCATTGACAGGTAGGTAGGCTGGGGCTTCCTGATGTGTGTGAGGAATCCAAAATGTGACCTTCTCTGGATATCATGCAATGGGAGGCTCTCTCCAACTAAGCTTACCTAAGATTAGGGGACCCACAAACCCCAGGATATATTCCTCTGCTGTAGGCTTATCCTCCTCTTAGTGACCTGTCAAGGGTGATGGACCAGCCATGTTTGAATATGAAAGAGGACACGGGGTTATGGGGACCATTTCTCTGCTTAGTGTGGGGGGTGGGAAGTGGCAGACTGGGGGTGCAGATCTGTCTCCCAGGTGGTGGCCCTGGGTTGGTATGGGATGTGTGGGGCTCCTGGATCCCTGTGCTCTCCTATGGGTGCCTTCCCTGGGCCTGCTCCACTTCCTCCTTGCTTTGACCACAGCTATGATGTAGTGTTTGCCTCCGGGCCTCGGGAGCTCCTGAGAAAGTTCCGGCAAGCCAAGAGCCAGGTGGTCTTCTCAGCTGAGGAACTCATCTACCCAGATCGGAGGTTGGAGGCCAAGTACCCAACAGTCTCTGATGGCAAGAGGTTCCTGGGCTCTGGAGGTAAAGGCTGGGTGCAGACCGTTGGGGTCCAGCAGAGGGGCCACCCATCACCTTTGGGCGGACTTCCTTGCCTGGCATCCCTGAATATCACAAGTCTCAGGTGCATACTAACTTGAAGAGAATCCTCACTGGGGAGTCTTCATTTTTTTTTTTGAGACAGGGTCTATGTAGCCCTGATTGCTCTCTACCTTGCTCTGTAGACCAGGGTGGCCTCAAACTCACAAAGCCCCACCTGCCTCTGCCTCTCCAGGGCTGGGATTAAAGGTGTGTGCCTCACTTTATTGAATGACATCTGGCTGCACTGGAGAGACTGGGTGACCCCTGAATCTTCCCTTACCTCCCATGTTAGTCACTTCAGCTTCCCAAACACCTCTCAAGCCCCATGGAGTGATGAGGCCAACCTGGGCTACATAAGACCTTGTCTCAAAAAACAGGACTGGTAGGACTGGAGAGATGACTCAGTGGCTAAGAGCACTAGCTGCTCTTGCAGAAGACCTGGGTTCAGTTCAAAACGGTCCATAACTCTAGTTCCAGGGGATCTGACCCACTTCTGGCCTCTGTGGGCACTGCATGCATGGGGGCACTTACATACATGCACTCAAATCACTCACATGGCACAAAAAAATTAATTAAAAAACTAAAATAAATACCTCTGGAATCTGCCTTTGTGGACCTGTACCCACTGCCCCTAGGCCTCATCCTTTCTTGGTGCTGGCTCAGCCCTCTGTAATTCTCTTATATAACTGCCAACCTCCTCCCTCAGCCACTTGCAGTCCTTTTGGAGAGTGGAACCCACACACCTCACCCATCCTCAGCAGGGTGAGCTGCTCTTTGAAGCTGCGTGTCTCATTGGCCTAGTGAGCTAACAGTTGCCATGGCCTGGCCCCGGCCCCAGCCATGGCCCAGGTGTCCTGTTTTATTCCTCTTTGCCTGTACATCTCTCACTTTATGTCCCTGAATAAAGTGAGCACTTGCCAGGGCTTGGACCCTGGAGTGCTGTGAGACCTTTTCCAGCCTCCACCTGTCTCTTTGTCGGATCACTATATAAAAGGGGCTCCAAGCTTGGCTCCAAATCTGGTTTTTAGGGGCTCAGCATTAAGCAGGTGCAGTTTAGTGGGTAGCATTGATCTTGGGAATGTATCAGCCAATGGCATTTATCAGCTTGCATGCTATTCCTCAGTCAGGGGAGAAGAGGCTGGGTTTATATATAAAGGAGTGGCAGGGAGAGAGGAGAGAAGGAAGCCAGCTTAAAGGCTGGAAGCTAAGTGCCTGTCTCTGTATCCCTACTACAATTCCCAGGCTTCATTGGTTATGCCCCCAACCTCAGCACACTGGTGGCCGAGTGGGAGGGACAGGACAGCGACAGTGACCAGCTGTTTTATACTAAGATCTTCTTGGACCCTGAGAAGAGGGTAAGTGATGGTGGGTGGGCTGGGGATAGGGGTCTGGGGAGTGCTGACCCTGGATGTCACTGGCCAGGCTGTACTGGGGACAGCCCTCTGCAGCCTGAGCTACTGGGTTGGTGTCTCAGTCCATCTGGGCTACTATGGGAAGTCTGCTTAAGTCTCAGTTGTTAAATCAAAGCCAGGAGCTGGTGAGATGGCTCAGTGGGGAAAGGTGCTTGCTGCCAAGCCCAACAATCTGAATTCAATCTCTGGGATCCACATAGTGGAAGGAGAGAACCAACTCTTGAAAGCTGTCCTCACACCTCTGTATGTGCACATGTGCCCACACACATATATGCACACATAAAATAAATAATAAATAAATAAATAAATAAATAAGTAAATAAATGTTAGAAAAAGAAAGCAAAGGCAGGCCTGATAATGTATGTTTGTAGTCCCAACATGTGGGAGGCTGTGGCCAGAAAATCATGAGTTTGCATGCGGCCAGCCTGAGCAACATAGAGAGCTCAAGGCCAGTCTGTACATACTGAAATTGTGTCTCAGAAAACTAAAACTTACAATGAATGAAAAAGCAATAATGTTAAATACTAATTTCTCATAGGAATGCTATGAGATCAAATTATACGTACATAGGAACCTGGGACTGGCAACTGGCATGTGGTGAATCCCTGCCCCAGCGTGTGCTGTCCGTGTCCTTCGTTGTTGTTATAATTGAACCAGCTGCTTCCGTAGCGCCCTCTAATTCTGAGATTTCCTGGTTCTCTGTGAATAGAGGCCCTAGAAACATAACCCCAGGGCCTGAGGTGGGAAGTCTGAGTGATGAGGGGCCTGGATCCCCATGCTGGGTATGCCGGGACCTTGCTCCCTGCCATACCCTGGTGTCCTCGTTTCTGCAGGAGCAGATCAACATCACCCTGGACCACCGCTGCCGCATCTTCCAGAACCTGGATGGAGCCTTAGGTGAGCAGCGACACTGGAGGGGGTGGGGGTGAGAGGGGAGTTAGGGGGGAGGTCTGAGAGGAGATAAGGGGTGGGGCCTTAGAAGGGTGGATGGAAGGGACTGTCTGGGTCCCCAGAGAACCTCTAGATGTCCTGGGGCAGAACTGTGTCTCTCACGGGGTGAGAGAGGGATAGCTGTTCAGCTTAGGAGAAGCTGGTGATGCCCATGGGAGGCGTCTGGCCCTCTGCCCCGACCTATATGCCATGTTAGTGCAAGTGCTCCCACAGCCCTGAACACACACCTTGGACCTGGGCCAAGGTTCTGGGTGACTTTGCTTTGTCAAAGCTTTTACTGGTTGACCTCATGTACACTACTCTGGAACCTTGGTTACTTATCTTTAGAAGTGGGAGCTAGGGCTGTGACTGGGACGTGCCTCACTTGATAGAATGCTTGCCCATAGGAAGCCCTGCGTTCAAGCCTCAGCACTACATTAAAAAGAAAATTGGGGCTAGAGAGATGGGTCAGTGGTTAAGAGCACTAGCTGCTCTTGCAGAGGACCTGATTTTGATTCCTAGTACCCACATGGTAGCTAACAGCTATCAGTAACTCCAGTTCCAGGGGATCTGAAGCCCACTTCTGGCCTCCACAGGCATCACACACATGTGGTGCACTTACATACACACAGGCAAAACACTCATATACGTAAAAATAAATAAATCCCAAACAATTAAGAATTAAAAAAAGAAATCAGCCAGGCATGGTGGTGCATGCCTTTAATCCCAGCACTTGGGAGGCAGAGGCAGGTGGCTCTCTGTGAGTTCAAGGACAGCCTGGTCTACATAGTGAGTTCCAGGACAGCTGGGGCTACAGGGAGACTCTGTCTCAAAAAAAAAAAAAAGAAATCAGGCTGGTCCTGGTGGTGCATGCCTTTAATCCTGGTACTCAAGACACAGCAGGCAGATCTCCATGAGATGGAGGCTAGCTTGCTCTACATAGTGAGTTCCATGCCAGCTGTAATCTCAGCGCCAAGGATGTAAAGGCAGAAGGATCAAAAGTTCAAGCTCATCCTTGGCTGTATAGTGAGTTTGAGACCAGCCTAGGGTTCATGATACTGTATCTCAAAAGAAAAAAAAAATGGGAAAGAGGAAAGGATCCACCTGCGATGGTTTTATGGGGAACCTTTGGGGATCTGATGAGGGTCTGGCTCTTCCCCTAGAAAAGCTCAGACATCTTGTGCCCTTTTGCCTCTGGTTTCTGGGACTTGTGGGCCCCCGTGAACAGGTGGGACCCAGGACACCTCCGGATAGACCAGGTCCTGACCCAGAGGGGCTCTCCCCATGTCACTCTCCATGAAAAGCCCCTTCCTTGCTGTCTTCTCCAGCTCCTCAGCATCTGTCCGTGGTGTTGCCTCCTCCCTGTTTCCTTGTGTTCAGGTGAGCAGGGCAGAGCTTGGGTCTGGAAGACCTGACTGCGGCTCTCCCTGCCCAGGCCACCCCGTATGACTGGCCTGTTTTCAGTGCTGTTCCTTGTTTCTGGAGCTGGAATATTCTAGTCTTTTTTTCTCCCGTCCCACTTCCAGCTCTAATGCGTCACCACAGTAAGGACAGGGTCAGGAGGGGTCACCGTGGCTTCTGTGCTCCTCCTTGGCTGTTGTGCCAAGTGCTTGCTGGCCACATGTTTGCCCCATGAGGAAGGTATTTTAGGACCAGGAAAATGGCTTGGTGGGTATAGGTGCTTGCTACCAAGCCTGACAACTTGAGTTCAATCCTCAGAGCCCACTTGATAAGAGAGAATCAGCTTTGGCAGGTTGTCCTCTGACCTCCAAATACAATAATAAATAAATGTAATTTTTAAAAAGAAGGGATTTAGGGACTGGAGAGATGGCTCAGCGGTTAAGAGCACTGACTGCTCTTGCAGAGGACCCGGGTTCGATTCCCAGCACCCACATGGCAGCTATGAACTGTCCTTAACTCCAGTTCCAGGGGAATCCGAAGCCCTCTTCTGATCTCCGTGGCATTGCACGACATGGATGCACTCACATACATTCAGGCAATACACTCCTACACATAAAATAAAATAAATAAAATATTTTTTAAAAAGAAGGGATTTACACATGGGGAAACTGAGGCTCAGAGAGGTGAAGAGACTTTCTTTCATGAGCTCCCAGGCTTGGCCCCCTGCCACAAGGTAGATATGTGCTTTCTGACCCCCAGATGAGGTTGTGCTGAAGTTTGAAATGGGCCACGTGAGAGCAAGGAATCTGGCCTATGACACCCTCCCAGTCATCATCCATGGCAACGGGCCCACCAAGGTAGGAAGGGGCCCAGCCCCCAGGGATTGTGGGAGGAAGTCAGAGCCCCAATTCTGTTCCTACTGTAACTAGGGCTAAGGTTACTTTCAGGGGCCCCTTTGACACCAGCTCAGCCTGGTATTAGATTTCCCTACTATGGTGGACAGTGGTGCACTGTCCCTCCCTGTTAAACTACAGGACACAAAGAGACTACTGTCCCCATCCAAGCCAGAGTCATCTGTATGCTATCACCTTAGGACCATTGTTTATTCACTCTGAACATCTATTGCATTTTTCCCCAGAGCACAGTAACTAAGACACAGTCAGTCACAAATAGGATAGTTCCTGCACTCAGGGTGCTATGAAAGGGGTTGATGGCAGATGGTGGCTGTGGATAGAGCAGATCTAAGTGGTTCTGGGGAACAGGCTCATAGCATATTTGTCTGGCTGTGTCTTCAACCACCTGCCTTAGAATCCAATGGGCAGGAGAGGAAAGAGAGCCAGTGGAAGTAGAGATTGGACTGGAGATATGGCTCTGTGGTTGAGCACTGGCTGCTCTTACAGAGGACCTGGGCTTGGTTCCCAGCATCCATGTGGCGGCTAACTGTTGGTAACTCCAGTTCCAGGGGATCTGACACTCTCTTCTGACTTCCATGGGCATTACAGAACACAGGTGCATTTACATACATGCAGGCATAACACTCATACACATAAAATAATAAATAAATAATTTAAATGTAGATCTGGCTGGGACCCAGCTCAGTTGGTAGAGTGCTTGCCTAGCACACATGAGGCCCTGGGTTCAATCCCCAGAATCAAATAAACCAGGCATGGTGCTTACTGTTAATCCCTGTGCTCAAAGTAGAGGCAGGAGAATCAGGAACTCAAGGTTTTTCTTGGCTACATAGTGAGTTCAAGGCCAGCCTAGAACACTTGAGACCCAGTCTCAAAAAATAAAATAAAACTGCAGATTTTGACTTCATCTAGTTCAGTTGCCTAGAAATCTTTGAGTGTTGGCCCCAAGAATCTGGGTTTTATAAGCACGCAGCGCCAAGCTCTCCCTCTTCCCTTCCCAGCAGCCAGAATGCTCTCCTGGGGGGTGGAACATTCCTTCCAAGATCCCTACAGATAGCAGGCAGAGACGGGATCCATTAGCTGTGGGTGGTGTGACTGGCCTGGCTCCTTTCCAACGCTGCATCTGACTCCCAACAGTTGCAGCTGAACTACCTGGGCAACTACATCCCCCGCTTCTGGACCTTCGAGACTGGCTGTACTGTGTGTGATGAAGGCCTGCGCAGCCTCAAGGGCATTGCGGTGAGGCCAGGCCTGAGTTGTGGGAGCATATTTGAGGGCAGTCCCCTGAGATGGGGAGGAGAGGAGGCGTTCCAAATAGCCGATTGTTTTTGTTGGGAGGTAGAGGGTTTACTCCTCTATGTTTGGAGCCTGAGAGGGGTTGAAGGGGTGGACCACACAGGTGCCTCCTCCAGAGAGCCCCTGCAGACTACACAGCCTCTACCCTCCCTCCAGGTGCCCAAGTCCAGTTTCTTCTGCCCAACCCTCACGTTTCTACAGCCCCTCCCTGTGCCGTGAGCCCTTGTCCTCATTATGGCTCACCTTGAACACCACACCAGCCAAGCTCTCCTGGTCTCGTGCCATCTACCAGGCCCTTGTCAGGAGCCTGGCTGTGACTTACCTAGGTGGGCTTCCCTAGGGACCCTGTCCCCCCCAACCCCCACCCCTGCCCACCTCACAGCCTGTTTGGTGTTCCCTGGCTTGGGCATCTGTCCTCCTGAACCTATGTGCCTCTACCTCAGTCTCCCATGAGCCATGCTAGGGGCCCAGTGGCAGGCAGTAGCTGAATTCTGCTGGACTCCTGTACTCTCCCTGCCTCTGCAGGATGATGCTCTGCCCACTGTCCTGGTAGGCGTGTTCATCGAACAGCCCACACCGTTTCTATCCCTGTTCTTCCTTCGGCTGCTCCACCTGCACTACCCCCGAAAACAGATGCGGCTCTTCATTCACAACAATGTGAGTAGCGGGTGCTGTGTGGGAGCCTCTGGGGATCTCACTAAACCAGGTTTACCTGGGCCATAGGCAGTGGGCAGTGTCCCTAGGACAGACTGGTTGAATCCTAGCAATTCTGCTTTTCTTGTCTGTGTGGTCTTGGGCATGTACCTTCACCTCTCTGCTTCCATCTTCTCGTTTAATTGAGGTGCTGACCACCTAGAATTACTGCACAAGTTAAACAAATTAACCCATGAAGTGCATAGAAGAGTATGGTGGTGTGTGGGGCAGGTTCAGGGGAAGGAACCTGTCATCCAGCTCCCCACGAGGCTGAGGCAGGAGGATAGCAAGCTCAAGGCCAGCCTGGGCTACAAAGTGAGACCCTTTCTCAGAAAAAAGTAAAAAAAAAGGCTAAGGGGGCTGGAGAGATGGTTCAGCAGTTAAGAACAGTTGCTGTTCCTCCAGAGGACCTGGGTTCGATTGCCAGCACCCACATGGCAACTAACAACCATCCCTAACTCCAGTTCCAGGGGATCCAACACCCTCCTCTGAGGACATTGCACACATGTGGTACAGTGGTACACTTACATACATGCAGGCAAAACACACATACACATAAAAAATAAAAAATAATCAATAAAAATTTAAAAAATATTTTATTTTTTTTTTATGTGTATGAGTGTATCGCCTGCATGTATGTAAGTGCACCTGCGTCGTGCAATGCCTGTGGAGGTCAGAGGAGGGCATTGGATTTCCCTGAAACTGGAGTTATAGATAGTTGTTAGCCACCATGTGGGTGCTGGGAATTGAACCTGGGTCCTCTGCAAGAGCAGCTAGTGCTCTTAACTGCTGAGTTGTCTCTCCAACTTGATAAATAAGTTTTATGTTGTGTATGTACATACTCTAAGAAGCTGCTATAGTTTCCATGTGACTTTTTCAAAAGGCCTTTATTGTTAGTCATCATCCCCATATTTCCTTGGGTGTCATTTGAACAATTTTTGGCATTTACTGTTTCTCCTACTTAAATATTCAACCTTGTGCTTTCCCTGGAGATGCAGCAGCCCCTGCGTGAACTGTCACTCTGTCACTTTTTTTTTTTCTGTCTTTTTGAGACAGGGTCTCCCTGTAGGCCCGGCTGGCCTGGCACTCACTATGTAGACCAGGCTGACCTTGAACTCATGGAGACTGGCTTCTGCCTTCAGAGTGCTAGGATTAAAGGTGTGCACCACCATGTTAGCATGAACTGTTACTTTGTGTAGAAAGACAGCTGTTATAGGCAGTCTTGAGGACCTACTGTATGCTAGATCTGACTCACTGCCTGCTTTTAGTGACCTGAGGGAGGCATGGTTGTTCTCCTATTTTACAATCTTCGCTGAAGAGGAGACAGGCAAAGGCTCTTGTCCAGGGTCAGGAGCTTATCATAGCTGAGCTGATGGTGGTCTTCCAGGCAGGTCTAACCTGTGGCTCCCAGGCCACATGCAAATCAGGAGAGCTATGAATGCAGCCCAGCACATTTGTAAATGATATCATAGCACAATGTCAAAAGGTTAGACCTCTCTGCTTGGGTTTGGGTCTAAAGACCCTGCTCTTTCCATGTCCCCAGTGCCAGGAGATTAACAAGCACAGACTGTTAAATCTCGATCCAGATCCCCTGATGTTGGTTAGCAACATGTTTCCCTGAGCCATACCCCAAAGATCAGCGGAGTCTCTGGATGTGGCATCTTTGGGAGATGGGGCTGTCCTAACGGCAGAGCTGTGAAGAAACCTGCCAAGTCTGGCCTGGCCAGAGGAGGTGATGGTAAAAGGGTGGCCAAGGAAGGACATCCTGGCAGAGGGCCAGGCCTGGGCAGAGACCTGGAGACAGGCATCCAGGTGGCAGAGTTGAGGCGGCACTGACAGGGGTGCTGTGATTCCTGGGGTAGGACCTGTATCTTCATCTGCATCTTGTCCCCACCCCCCAGGAACAGCATCACAAACTGCAGGTGGAGCAATTCCTGGCAGAGCATGGCAAGGAGTACCAGTCTGTGAAACTAGTGGGCCCCGAAGTGCACATGGCCAATGCTGATGCCAGGAACATGGGCGTGTAAGTTGTAGACGGGTTTTCTCATGGATGGTGGTGGGCAGACAGGCCATAGCACCAGGAATGGCAGGCTGAGTAAGGAATTCACAAGGCTCTGTGGTCTCCAGCACAGTCCTGCCTATCTGGGCCTCAGGATTCCCATCTGTGAAATGGGGATGTAGTCTCTGTCTAGCCAACTTGGTGTGTGTGGGGGTCTCCTAGCCAGTGTCACGTGGGTTCAGGAAGCAAATTAGGGAAAGAGGAAGGACTGGAGGGCCAGAAATATACCAAGGCTGACAGAGAAACAACTTTTAACTTTTTGTTTTATTATTAAAAATACGGGGCTGGTGAGATGACTCAGCAGGTAAAGGTGCTTGTTACACAGACAGGCCTGGCAACCTGAGTTCGATCCTTGGAACCCATATAAAGGTGGAAGGAGAGAACCAACTCCACAGAGTTGTCCTCTGACCTTCTCACACACATCATACACACACACACACATACACACACACACACACACACACACACACAGAGTAAATAAAAGAACATCACTTAAGGGACTGGAGAGATAGCTCAACAGTTAAGAGCACTAGCTGCTCTTGCAGAGGACCCGGGTTCAATTCTCAGTATCCACATGGTGGCTAACAACTATCTGTAACTCCAGTTCCAGGGGAATCTGACACCCTTTTCTGACCTCCACAGGCTTTGCACAACACAGATGCACTTATATACATGCAGCCAATACACTCATACACATAAAATAGAAATAATAGATAAAATTTTTTTTTAGGGATTAGGGATTTAGCTCAGTGGTAGAGTGCTTGCCTAGCAAGCACGAGGCCCTGGGTTTGGTCCTCAGCTCCGAAGGAAAAAAAAAAATATATATATATATTTTTAAATGTCACTTGGGAGGCAGAGACAGGTGGATCTTTGTGTGTTTGAGGTCAGCCTGGTCTACATAACAAGTTCCAGACCAGCCAAGGTCTACATAGTGAGACCTTGTCTCAAAAGTCCCCCTCAAAAGATAAAATAAAAATAAATTTAAAAAGTAAAGCTAAACAAAAATAAAGACACAAGAATTCATTGGTCTAGGGTTGGGGATGTTTCTCAGTTGGTAGAGTGATTGCCTAGAATGCATGGTAAAGTCCTGTGTTTGATCCCTAGCACCATATAAACCAGGCATGGTCATGCATGCCTATAAGTTCAGTCAAGATGTTCAGGAGTTCAAGATCATCCTCAGTTCCTCAGTTACATAGATGTCTCCAAGCCAACTTGAGCTACATGAGACCCTGTCTCAGCAACAACAACAAAAAGGGAATTCATTGATCTAGAAGATCTGAGGCTAGGCTGGCAACCTTCCTGTAAAGGACTGGGTAGTGAATGGGCCTGCCAGCCAGCTAGGTGGGCTGTCCCCTAAAGGACTAGGTGGTGAATGCATCTATCAGTCATTTAAGTGGTCTGTCCCCTAAAGGACTGGGTAGTGAATGGGTCTGCCAGTCAGCTAGGTGGCTGAATCATCCTTGCTGAGCTCTGCCCTCATTGCACAGAGGCAGCCACAGATATTGCATAATGAGTGAATTAGATTATGTTCCAGCAAGATTTTATTTATGGACACTGAAATTTGACTTCCTCAAAGGAAGGCATAGTTTTTATGTGTTATTTCAGTTTTCCCCCTAGTTATTTAAGAACAGAAAACCATTGTTAGCTCACAGGCTGACCAAAACCTGGTGATGGGAAGCTTTGGCCCAGGGACCATAATTTGCTGAGCTCTGGGTCAGATAAACAAAAGGGCCTTTTTTTTTTTTTTGGCATTTTTGAGGCAGGTAGCCCAGTTTGGCCATGAACTTACTATGTAGCCCAGGCTGGCCATAAGCTTCTGTTTCTGATCCTCCTGCTTCCACCTCCCAAGAGCTGGGATTATAGGCATGTACCACCGTCCCCAGCAGCATGCGTTTTAATTTATTATGTGGGGTACTAGAGACAAATGCTTGCCACTGAGTGATGCCCCCAGCTTCTGTTGATGCAAGTAACCAAATTGCTCTGTAGACGGGCAGCACCAGCCCCTCATCCCCAGCCCAGACGGTGTTGAGGTCCAATTGGTGAGCTTGTGCTCCAGCCCCCCCACCCCCCACCAGTTCTGATATTTGCCATTGCCAAGCTCTAGATTTAAGAGCTTAGGGACCCAGGGTCTGGGTCTTAGAGTTGGGAGAGACCGTTGAAGTCCCAGCCTGCACCTGGATTGCCATGACCCCTTAAGGCCCCTTGGTTGGTACATCTCAAAGCCAAGGCATATGGTTAAATTCAGCATCTGCTGTGGAAGCTCTAGAACCAGCCTGCCTGGCTGATGGCCTCCCCCCTCACTTCCTCCTTCCCTCCTCCTCTTCTTCCTCCTTTACTCCCCTTCCTCTTCTTCCTTCTCTTCCTCCTCATCTCCCTTCTTCCCACCTCCTCCTCCTCCTCCTCCTCCTCCCCCCCTCCTCTTGCAGAGACCTGTGCCGCCAGGACAGAACTTGCACCTACTACTTCAGTGTGGACGCTGACGTGGCCCTGACTGAGCCTGACTGCCTACGATTGCTGATTGAGCAAAACAAGTAAGTCTGTGGGTGGCCCCTGCGCAAGGCAAGGAAGCAGGACCCCCTCACCTTTCTCAGCCTTTCCCATTACCTAGGATGTGGGGCCCCAGCCTGATGACTCCTAGGGCTGACAGACCCTTTCTGGGTCTATCCCCAGCGTGATAGGGGTGAAGTTCCTGTTGAGCCAAACCCTTCCAGGTTGGGCTGCCCTACCCCAGTGACAAGTATGGAGATCCCTGCATGCAAATCACAGGTTGCTGGGCCCCTCCCCTTCCCCACCCTCAGTCTGGTTTGCCTCCTGCTTCCTTCCTTAGGAATGTCATTGCCCCACTCATGACCCGCCATGGGAGGCTCTGGTCCAACTTCTGGGGGGCGCTGAGTGCAGATGGCTACTACGCCCGCTCCGAGGACTACGTGGACATTGTACAAGGCCGGCGTGTGTGAGTACCTATTGCCCTCATCTCTTCCTCCTGGGCTATCGTACCCCCCCCCCCC